ATTTGAGAAAGGATTTGAAGTGGCTAAATCTGGATTTATTTAAAAATTACACATCAACAAGATCTCCTTTTCTTCTTGAGTCTTAAAGACTCTTAGGACAAGGATAAGGGAGCTCTGGCCCACGTGGTAGGTGGTACAGCCCAAGAATTTCTTAGCCTTCAAGTAACGTGGGCTGGCAGTGCGAGGTCTCAGGGCAGTCGAGCTGAATTCCTGGGTGGTTAGGGGAGCTAGGATGTTGAAGCTGACCTCTCCCTCCTGTAGGACGTCCCTGGGCCCCCAGAGCCTGCCATTGGAGCAGGCTACGTGGGGACCTGGCAGCGGTGCCAGCCTTGGGTTCTCCTGTTCTGCTGAAGCCACCTCTTGCTGGCTGGAGCTCTTGGGCCCAGTGGTCAGGGATCCCAGGGCAGAACCTTGCTTTTTCCTGGCCTCGCTTTAAATTAGGCAGTGGTCTGGGGAGGAGCCAGCGTGCTGCCTGGCCTCGAGGTTGAGAAGAGATGGGTGGGAGGGAAGCAGGGAGGAAGAGACAGACACAGTTCTTCCCAGCAGCCCTGCTCGGTCTCTGTGCATCACGTCCTTCCCGTGGGTACTAGAACAGGCCCAGGCCACTTGGCTCTGAAACCAGAGAGCAGTGAGTCTTCTCTTGGGGGTTTCCTACTAAGTAGCCCCACAGACACTGGACACCCCAGGGCACGAAATGAACTGCTCGCTTCTGCTTCAGTACAGCAGATCCCGACCTTGCCTTCCACCCCGACCATGGGTCTTTGAGCTCCTGGACCCTTCTTTGCCTGACGCTGGCCTTTCTCTCGGGGGGCTGAGGAAGCATGGCCTCCCCTTTCACTGCCCTACTGTTGCTTCCGACCCAGGGCCAGCTCTTCCGAGGCTCCAGCCTGCTTTTCCGCCGAGTGTCATCAGGATCGTGCTTTGCCCTGGAGTAGCCTGAACCATCTGAAAAACACACTGTCTCAACCTGGCCACCGTGGATGAGGCCTGGTCTCCTCGGGCCACTTGTAAGGCGACACCAAGCCAGCAACGCCTAGATGTGCGCCGGCACAGCTGGGCTTCAGTTTCCATATCTGCCGTGTATCTGTCCAGATACGGGGTTGGGCTGGGGTGGGGCTGTGCCCGGTGGATGGAGTCAGCTGGCAGACCTGGGGAAGGTGGAGTGGGATGGGGAATCGGGGCAGAATCCCCTTACTCCCAGATTTGCAGAGTCTGCCTTGTGCAGGGGGCAAGAGAATGGCTCGTGGAGGCCCAGGTTGGATGGGGAAAGGCCGATGGGTCAGATCCCACCCCCCAGCCCCTTGAGGCAGCCCCGCTCCCGCCCTGCAGCTCAGCTGGGAGCGGCTCTCCCGCTTTGTAAATAGGACATGATCCCCCTTCACGAGGCGCCACCATGTCTAGGCCCGTGTGGGGAGGCTAATGCTAGGTTCTCCTTCGTTTTTGTCAACACTACATTTCTGATACGAAGGCAGCACCTTCTTCTGAATGGGAAATCATGTGACTACTCAGAATGTGTCCCCCTCGTCTAGTGCTTCTGTGTTCCACGATGATGCGTCCCGTGCAGGAGCGGTCGCCTGTGCAGCTGTGAATACCCAGAGGTTAGGCAGATGAGTGTTTCTAGTCCTGCCCAGTTTAGCAGTTCATGGTAAGATTCGACCCTGTCTCCTTCAAATAAATGTCTTGGTGGTGATTTGGAGTTTTGTGGGGCGTCTCTTAGTTTTGTGAGCTTAAAAAACTGTCTATCTGCAGGGTCTTTCTCAGACCTTCCTGTGGGTGTGAGAAGGGGCTGTAAGCGACAGGGCTCAGGGCTGCCCAGCCTGGGGACAGTGGGCGCCAGGGCTTGGTGTAGGTCAGTCTTGAGGGGAGACCCTGGGCGATGAGACTGGGGTGCCAGTTCGCACAGCAACAAGCAGCGCACACTGACCTGTCGCCAGGGAGGCAGGCCCTTCAGAAAGTGTTCCACCCAAACCCCTAACTGTCGTCTCAGCTCCATTTGAAGGTGACATATCTTTAAATTTTACAAGAGTCATCTGGTGTGGTAGCCACATGGCTACAGCAGAAGGGGCAGACCTCGTTTCTGCCCAACACTGGGGTCTGTAAACAGGCAAAACTTACAGATGTTTTGAGGTGTAGCTGGGTTCCCCCAAGTGTTTCTCTGCCTGCTCTAGGGGTCCTGGCTGTGAGAGTTGGGGTCTATTGGCTTTGGTCACACTTCCCCCACAGGTGTGGGCTGGGTCACCCCCAGAGGGAAGGCCCCCAAAATGCTTGAGCACAGCTGGTTTTTCCCAGTGGCCCAATAACAGCTGACTCAAGGGCAGTTTACTTACGTGTCCTTGCTTCCCGGAGCGCACAAGCACGCCCGCGTGGTGCCGGTGGGCGTTGGTTGAGGCTGCTACGGCCTGGGAACTTTGCAGCGCACGTGTGCTTTCCCAGGGCGGCCCTCAGACGGCTACAGTGGTGGGAAGGACAGCACGTGGCGCGCGGGCCAGGACTGGGGAAGCAGGGCCTTGCGCTCCCGGGCCTGTCACAGGGGGTCCGCCTCGTGGCCCGTTACCTTTCTCCTGCCCCGTGTGCTGTCCCACGGCAGTGGCCACTGTTCTGGGGTGGCTTTTCTTCCTTTTGCTCCACCTCCGTCCTGTCTGCGCACTGACTGCTTCCCGTGGCCGCGGATGTAGGGCACCTGCATCTCCAGAGCCCGAGCCGAGCTGGCCCTGAAGAGCCCCTCAGACAGCCACATCCTCCCGCACATGGGGAGAAGCCGCCCAGTCACCTTGGGGAGGGCCAGTGCTGTCCCCAGGTAATTTCCTGGGACTTGTGAATTTGGGGTTCTCAACTTCATTTCCCAGGGTCTCTCCCACACCAGAAATGGCATGAAAATCTCTGGATAGGCTCCCAATTTTTGGTTGAGTGAAGTGTGGGTTTTTCATCTAACAAAAAAGCAAGTTTTCAGACCATTATTTAAATGCTTGCATTGTATGTGTTAGATGCTCCCTGTTAGCTGGACCCTCCCATCTATGAGGGCTGGGTCTCTGTCTGTCTGTCCTCCCTGCACTGGGCACATTCCCTGTCAGTCCTGGAAACTAGAATGCTGGGTCCGCATCTGAGGGGATTGGGTGGGGTTGGGCAGGAGGGGACATGGGAGCCAGTCACCTTCCTCCCCTCCTGGGAAACCTCACTCTGACGAGTGAAGCTGGACGGGCCTCTGGAACCCCCTCATGAATACTCCAGGTATATACTCAAGAGAATTGGGCCGGGCGCGGTGGCTCACGCCTGTAATCCTAGCTCTCTGGGAGGCCGAGGCGGGCGGATTGTTTGAGCTCAGGAGTTCGAGACCAGCCTGAGCAAGAGCAAGACCCCGTCTCTACCAAAAATAGAAAGAAATTAATTGGACAACTAAAAATATATAGAAAAAAAAAAATTAGCCGGGCATGGTGGCACATGCCTGTAGTACCAGCTACTCGGGAGGCTGAGGCAGGAGGATCGCTTGAGCCCAGGAGTTTGAGGTTGCTGTGAGCTAGGCTGACGCCACGGCACTCTAGCCCGGGCAACAGAGTGAGACTCTGTCTCAAAAAAAAAAAAAAATTTTTTTTATAAGGGATGTCGAAAATAGACAAGTCCATTTAGATGGAAAATGGATTAGCGGTTGCTTGGGGCTGGGGAAGTTGGAGAGGAATGGGGTGTGACTGCTAATGAGGAAGTTTCTTTTTGGGGTGATGAAAATGTGCTAAAATTGTGATGGTTATACAATCCAACCATTGAGTTACATCCTTTAGGGTTTTTGTTTGTTTGTTAGAGACAGGATCTCACTCTTGCCTGGGCTAGAGTGCAGTGGGGTCATGATAGCTCACTGCAGCCTTGGACTCCTGGACTCAAGTGATCTTCCTGCCTCAGGCTACCAAGTAGCTGGGACTACAGGTACACAGCACCATGCCCAGCTAATTTTTCTATTTTTTTGTAGAGAAGGGGTCTCGCTCTTGCTCAGGCTGGTCTGGAACTCCTGACCTCAAATGATCCTCCTGCCTTGGCCTCCCAGAGTGCTAGGATTACAGGCATGAACCACCATGCCCCACCGAGTTACATACTTTAAATGGATGGATTTTATGTGAGTTATATCTCAACAGACCTGCAAAAGAAATGTATAAAGAAAGAAAAAGTGAGGAGCGACCTCCTTGGTTACAGATCAGCTCCCAGCCCTAGCCTGACTTGGATGGTGTCCTATCTAACTGCTCCCCCTCCTGCTTTGGCCTGGGGACAGTTGCTGTGCCCGTCCCCACCCCCAGCCACCCTCAGCCACTGCTGTTGCTCCCCTTCCCTTCCCACACACATTTGTGCTTTCCTGGTCCTCAGCACTTGGGGACAGTCCTGCTATGCTCCCCTGGGGGAGTGTTAGGGACTCCAGAGCCCCTTCTCCGGACCCCTCCAGGCATCAGGGGTGGGCAAAGCCTTGCCTGCAGTGCATTTCTGACCTTGTGTCCCAGACAGACCTGGGCAGCAGCACCCCTTGGTCATATGCCACGCCTTGATCCTGGGCCCCAAACCCACCCAGGCCCCAGTGGCGACTCCTGAAGCCGGGAGAGTCAGCCCAGCACCCTTGGCCTTCCCTCAGCCCTTTCTCCTTCCTACCCGCCACCTGTGGTCAAGGGGTGGGGTGAGCGGCCACAGGAAGGGAGGGAAGGGTGGCCCAAAGAAGACACTAAATGGAGTGTTTGGGGGAGAGGGACGTGAAAGAGAAGGAGCGGTTGCCACGGGTTGGTAAGGGGAAGAGTTGAGCCTCTTCAGAGCCTCCTAAAAAGCTGTCCTGCACCTCCCGCCCCTCACAGCACTGAGACTCCGGTGCTCCCAGACAGGCTTTATTCAAGAGTCAAGGGCTGCTTCCCTTCCCTCCTCCCTGAGCCCCACCCCACCCACACAGACACTGAGGGACAGCCCCAGGCCAGGCAGGCAATGGGCGCCAGAACCCCCAGGTGGGAGAGGCAGGAGGGCTGGGCCCCTGTGCACTCACTGGCGCCCCGCGGGTGGCGGGCCTGTGCCTCCAGGATGCTGAGGAGGAGGCACGTGCCCTGCAGCCTTTCCCTTCCAGAGGGCCTCAGCCGACCAGCATCTTGTCTGAGGGGCTGGGGACAGGGTGGGGAAGATGGCAGGAGGACAGCTGATCTCTTCACTCTGGGAAGGGCCAAGGGGTCCCTGGGAAGCCCGAGATCCTCTTCTCAGGGAGAGCAGGCGTGTGGCCACAGGAACCCCACCGAGGACAGTCTGCAGCCAGCTGAGGGGTGGGCCTCCCCAGAGGCAGAGGCGCTCCCGGGCAGTACCAGGGCTCGGCCCTTTGGAAACCTCCTGCAGAAACAAGAGCACTGCCTGGAATCTGGCCAGAAGCTGGGGTGAAGGGGGGCTGCTGGGCCGCAGAGCAGAACCTGCCCGGGAAGCTGCGGCCTCTCACTTGGAGAAAGACAATCCAGAGTGGGCCCGAGGCCAGTGTCCCCCCACCAGGCCTTGCCTTTCAGTGTGTCCCCTTCAGAAGATTCCAGCCAACACCAGGGGAGGCAGTAGCAGTAGTCCCAGGAAAGGGCCCCATACATGACTAGGGCCCGAGCTCAGCCCCGACTTGATGCCAGGCTTCTCAGGGCCCTCAGCACCTGTGGGAAGGGAGAGGCTTTGCCTCGGCCTGAGGATAGCTGTGCCTGACCTCCCACTCCCCCGCCATGCAAAGGGGGTGGGCAGCAGCCAGGGAGGAAGCTCCTACTCAGAGGGTACATGCCATGCCAGGCTCAGACCACCTCTGCTGGGGCAGGATGCTGACATGCTGGGCCCAGGAGGGTAGGGCGGATGCTGCAGGCCTTACCTGGCAAGGATGACTGCAGGGCCAGGGTCCGCCCACCCGAGGCATTAGCGGTGGCAGAGGTATTGGGGAAACTGGGCAGGGACTTGGAGGAGGTGTACCCCATGTGGTTCAGTGAGGCCTGCAGCTCACCTCGCTTGTCCTGGGCTGGAAAAACTGAGGCCAAGACCTCACTAGAAGAAGGCACCTCGGCCTCAGCCTCAGCCTCTTCCTGGGCATGGGGTAGGGGCTCCCCTGTCCCTGTTGGGGACATCTTGGGGTGCAGAGATTTCTCTGGGCTCACGGAGGGTGCTCTGGTTATGCTGGCCACGCTGTGTGCTGATTTGGGGATAGGAACATGGGTGGATTTGGGAAAGGTAGCCGGCTCCTCATCCAACGAGGGCAGGCTGTGAGTTGCAGAAACGGAAGGGACCGCTGTTTTTACAGAAGGTGGGGACTCTGTTGCCATTGAGGAGGGGCCTTTCGTTTCTAAGGAAGTTGGGGCCTCGGTTTCTACAGTCGGCAGAGCCTTGGTTGCCAGGGAGCCTGAGACCTCTGTCGCCACGGAAGAAGGCATACTCATTTTTCTAGAGGCTGAGGCTTCAGTTGCCAGGGAGGATGGCGCCTCAGTTACCGGGCCGGGCAAATCTGGAGCATCTTCTGAGCTTCCGACGGGCTCTGATAAGGTAGACAAGAACGGGCATCAGTGCTGCCAGCAGGACCCCACATTCCTCATCTCGCTGCAACCAAGGTGAGGCGACCAAGTGTCCTACCAGGACACTCACACACACACACACCTCTCCAGCGGACGTCCTTCACTGATAATAAATATTACGTCTTGCTAATGACACAACGGCTCCTCCATCCACGTCCTCGTCCGAATTTCCTCTGCCCTCGCACTTCCACTCTTTAGGGGACTCTGCAGCGCGGTGCTTGCTCTTGCCCGCCCCCCGCGGCGCAGGCCCCGCCCCCCGCGGCGCAGGCCCCGCCCCCCGGCCGCGCCCGCTCTCCGGGACCCTTCCGTCAGGCCACGCCCACCTCGCGCTGTGCCCGGAAGCGGCCGGACTCTGCTACCCTCCATTGGAAGGCTTGAAGTCCTGTCACTTGGAATGACAGGGCGCCACAGTGGCTTGCACACGGAGGACAAAGTGAGCCGCTAAGGGGCCCTGGTGGTCGCAACCCGCCTGGCCCCTCCCCTGCCCGGTCGGCAGCGCGTCCCCTCTCTGCCCCCCGCCCCCCACTCACCACAGAGGGAGTTCTCGCAGCGGTAGTCCGGGGGACACTGGGAGCACGGAGTCCCCTCCCGGTAGGGCCTTTTCCCCTTCACGTTCCCCCTACAGGAGGTGAGAAGGGTGCTGGGGGGAGAGGTCCCTTCCAAGCCCCTTCTCCATCCCTCATCCGCACACCTTATCTGGAAGTGCCCTGGGGGGTCCGCTGCCTACCCGCCACCCCCTTTGGCGACCCTAGGCTCCTGGCTCTGCCCACTTTCGCCTGCTCCCCATTCCCAGGGCTCCCCCAGCACTTACGGGGGCTCATAGTTGCACACGAGTAATTGAATGTTGGTCTCCTCAACTCCCTGGAGCTTCTCACAGAAGTGGGAACCACAGCCGATCCTTTCTGTCTTGGCCCAAACCACCTGCAGGAGGGCAGACCTGGCAGCTTGGCCCTGTACCGGGCAGCACAGCCCCGCCTGCTGTCCCTCTCTGTACCAGCCTTCCGTGCCTGGGGAGAGGAAGCACGCTGCACCTGTGGGATCCAAGACCCTCACTTGCAGCTGCAGGACAAAACTTTTATATCGTTTTTCCTTGTTTTTAGTTCTTCTCCAAAGGAACTTCAGGACAAAACTGAATAGGGGAGGGAAGGGAGAGTTTGTCCAGAACAGTCTGCTCTCCCCTGACAACTGTACACACCCCTTCACCATGCCTCTTTCCTCTCAGATCCTTCCCTCACCTCCGGGGCTCTGATATATCCATGAACTTTTCCTGTGAACTCTTCCTAGAGGCCTTTGCATTTTAAACAAGGGGTATAGCCAAAGGAATGAATCTCAAATGGCAGAACCTTAGATATCAGCAACAAGAAAAGTCCAAGAAAGGGAACAGGGAGCCATTTCAGAAATGGAACTTTCCCCAAATCACAGGTAAGCAGGGACCTGCTCTGGCTCTTTCTGGGTGTGGGTCTCCTAGCTGCTAGAATGACTTCTAAGTATAAAACTTTAAAAAGTCATGTGGTGCCATGGGGTGAGACCAGCAGCCTCCCCTTGCTATTTCTAGGCCCAGTCTGCTCGGGAATCTCTGCTTAAGTCGGCTGAGGGTCCACCAGATGCCACTGTTGAGCATCTTACAGGTAGAAATGACCCCAGAGTGCATATGGGTGGGGAGAGAGGGGGCGGTGGTGGCCGGGTCCAGAGGGAAGAGGGCAGGGAGGGAGCCGGGCCCTCCCAACTTCCTGACATGGGTGGGTGCTGTTGGGATTTCCTCCCCTAAAGATTAAGAGTAAAAATACTGCACAAAAGAGGTATTGAAAAACAGAATTGGTGGATGTGGGCAGGAAGATAATTGGTTTCTTTCTCTTTTGTTTGTCACGTGATTGTTTGTATTGTATTTGTTGTCAAATAAGCATTGGGAGGAGGCGGAGTGGGGACCCTGTGGCCTCAAGGTGGCATGTGGCCCTCCAGACCCCCAAGTGCGGCCCGACCAAATCCAGACTTCACAGAGCAAATCCCTTTATTAAAAGGATTGTTCTGTAAAAGTTGGATTCGGTCAAAAGGCCACACTCAAGGACCCAGAAGGTCGCGTGTGGCCCGACCAGCAAAAGGTGACCGTGAGAGACAGGAAATGGTGTCAGAAGGCTCCTGGAAACCTTCATTCAGTGACAGTTTGCTCTTATTTTAAACCTAGTTTTTAAAAGCAAAAGACAAATTAAACAAAATTCTCTATTTGCGTTATCAGTTCCTGGCAGATTAGAAGCAGCAAATTAGCCACCACGATAAGCCACAAAAGAGTGACAGTGAGAGAAGAGACAGAGTTAGGGGCATCTGCTGCTAGGACAGTCGCTCTGCAGACTTAGGCCAGGGCGCAGGGCCAGTGTCACCTGACTTAGGTCTCTTCAGGATCAGAAGGCCAGGAAGGGCGGCCTCGGTTCGTCAGAGGCCTGGACCGCGCATGAGCCGCAGTGGGAACACGGGGTTTAGGAAGGACCCAAGGGACCCGCCGTCCCGAAGCGCGGCTGCCGGGAGAGGTCGCCCCGCCCCGCCCCGCCCCGGCCCCGGCCCCGGCCCCGGCCCGGCCGCACCTGCGTGTAGTGGCCGCACATCTGGCCCGGGTTGCAGGCGGCGGCGCTGAGGTTGTAGTGCGCGCGCTCCTGGTGCCACTCCCCCACGGCCAGCGGCACGTCCATGCCCTCGTCCGTGATGGCGAACAGGTTCTCGCCGCGCCGCCCGCGCTCCTTGTTGTGGCCCCAAATGCACTGCTGTGCGTAGGCCTTGGCGAAGGCGGCCAGCTCCGCGTCCCATCTCTGCAGGACAGGTGGGGGGGGCGCCTCGGGCTCAGTGGAGGCAGGAGAGGGAGGCGGGATGCCCACAGGTTCTGTGGGATATGAGCAGAAGGTCTAGGGGGTCCTAGGGGCCTCTGGAAGCTGGAGACCCTCCTGCCCCTGCCCCCACTTCCCCTTAGCCAGGGACTCTTGGCCACGACCTGGAACAGGTCTCTGCTCTGGGAGGGCTGCGGTAGGGAGGTGGGAGGATGCCACTAAGGGCCTCGGAGTTGACCAGACTCGGGACCATTCACCAGCTGTGTCATTCTGGACAGATTGCTTAACTTCTTTTTTTTTTTTTGCTGATAGACACAAACGTAAGTGAGGAGATTCTAGAAGTTGTAATTTATTTACAAAAAATCCAGTAAAGTGATTCAAAACTGGAAGTAATTCAACAAGTACATTAATTAAAGATATGTACAAGAATAAAATTTCACACTATATGAATCCAGTACATATTTATCAAAAAGAATAAGGGCTACAATTTATGCCTCAAGTAAAAGAACTTAAAACAAAGAAAAATCTAAATTAACCTTAAGTTTTTGTGAAGCCTCAAGGAACAGAAAAAGATCTGTGGTACTAAAACATTCCAAATATCTTTGATCACTCATGCTACTTTAGAACAAATTCTTTGTTTGTTTTTTTTTTTGAGACAGAGTTTCGCTCTGTTGCCTGGGCTAAAGTGCCGTGGTGTCAGCCTAGCTCACAGCAACCTCAAACTCCTGGGCTCAAGCGATCCTCCTGCCTTAGCCTCCAGAGTAGCTGGGACTACAGGCAAGTGCCGCTATGCCCTTCTAATTTTTTCTACATATATTTTTAGTTGTCCAGCTAATTTCCTTCTATTTTTAGTAGAGACGGGCTCAGGCTGGTCTCGAACTCAAATGATCCACCTGCCTCAGCCTCCCAGAGTGCTAGGATTACAGGGTGAGCCACCATGCCCGGCCCAAATTCTTTGTTATAATCTAATGTTTAAGTCTAAGAAGAGCCAATGCAACTTTAAAACGTTAGTTTTAATTTTTAATTATTTGAACAAGTTGAATATATCTGCCAGATTTTTGTGATACCTAAGAAAGAAAACACAGAACGCATCCTTTTCTATGAAAATTATATTTTAAATTTTTTCATTTTTCACTAGATGCCACTGAAAGAGGGACATCAAAGTCACCCTAAGTGGACTGAGCTGGATGCATGATCACTTCATTTGAACTGGTCTGGCTACGTAGTGTCTGGAGTGCCTCAGAAAAGGGGAAAGCGGGGAGGAGGTTTGAAAATCAAAAAACGACTGTTTTGCCACCCCCTCCCCCACTGAAGGCAGAATTCCTTAAAAACCAGCTCTGACTCATCTTGATGGGTAACTTCTTCTGCTGCAAATGAAAGTTCTTTCAAAATGGATTGCTGAAAATGTGTTTCCAGAAAGAAAATTCAGTGCATGAGAAATTTCCTTATCCCACTTGTAAAAGCCCAAGATGTCTACATAAGGAGCACCGCGACGGCCGTACAGCCCGGCCTGGGCCCAGGGGAGGCGCGGCAGTGCCCGCAGCAGGGATGGACTTGGGCTCGGGGAAGTGGACTTGCGTGCCCTTGGTGAGCTCTGGCTGCACTCCTGAGGTTAAGGACACCGGCCACCATGGAACGGAGTCTGTTGACATTTGAACACTAAGCATTTTTTTGAAATCCGAACTGAACACCACCCCCTACCCCCAACAGGGCTTCCTGCACAAACACACCCTCCAGAGCCAAACCCAGTTAGCTGGGACAACACTGAGACCCCAGCCTCTAGGAAAGTCTGGGTGTGTGGGTTATGAGGGGAAAAGGACGTTTCTGCCTTCCGGAACCCCACCACGTCCCCTGCTGCAATCTTCCTCCCCTAGAAACTTCAGAAATTGGGGTGGGGGCTGGGGGAAAACGTGCAGCCAGCCACTCCCTGCCGCTGCCGCCACCACCCACACCCCCAATCCCCTGAGTCTGGCCCTTGCCCACCGCTGTTCAAAGGCACCTTCCCCCCCCAACTCCGTGGCCTCGGAACAGCAATCTGCTTAACCTTTTTGAACTGTCACAGGGCACTGGGAAGATTGAGGGGGATGGTGTTTGTGACAGCATTCCTAACAGCCTTCTATGTGAAAGGTGGGCAGTGATGCCCCTGCCCACCGCCCAGGGCTGCTTGAACTGCTCTGACAAGCACAAGATGGCCAGGGGATGCTGCAGGGCCGGCGCTCTGTTCAGCCCGCTCCCGCCCCCACCATGGATCTGACTTGGGAGCCAGCGCCGTCCTCTCCCCTCTCAGCTCCCACGCGCCCCTGGGACAGCCCAGCCCCTTGCCTTTGCCCTCCCCAGGAGGACACTAACACTCAATGCTGGAGGCCCTTCGCTGAGGGGCCTATTTTCGAAGCCTTGGTGACTTGATAGCTATCAGATCCCAATGACAATATTCTCTGGTGGGGACCTCAGGTGAGACGGTGGGAGGGGGCATTTCAGGGTCCGGCGCCTCTGAGATTCTGTGTCCCTGGCTGGGAGGACAGGCTGAGTGTGGGTGGGAGGAGGGATTTATAAGGCATCTGACCTAGAGGACTGAGGAGGGAGGCCTGGATCCCATTAAACTTTGTCCTTGGCTTCTCCGGGAAAGCTATGGCCTGGCGGCAATCTTGCTCCACCCTCTGGGGGCCCAGCCAGCTGCCAGAGCCAGCCAGCCCATAATGTGCCAAAAGCCTGGGTGACCCCGAGGGGAGGGGGCCGTGCGGCCACACCCACTCCCCACCCACCCATGGCTTCCAGAAGCAGCTGCTTGGGTGGGGGTGGGAGCACCTGGCTGGGATAGCCCCGCTGCTGTGACCTCAAGTGAGTCCCTTTCCCCCTCTGGACATTTTTGTCCCAAATCACTCGTCCCCGAGGTTCTCTCAACTCCGGTAACAGTGGGAGACTGGAAGCGGGAGAGGGGCAGGGTGTCTGGATGACCCACGGGGCTCCAGGCTAGACTACAAGCTCCTTCAGGTTAGGGCAGTGATGTATCCCCCACCTCTGGCACAGTGCTGGCACATAGTAGGTGCTCAATAGATACGTGTCAACTAGCGATGACCGAGTCAGGGCTCTGCTTAAAGCAGCGTCCCCCACAGAGCCTGGCTGTGATTTCCATCCTGGCTCGATGCCTGACGTCCCATTAGAGAGTCAATGCTCTGGGTCTTAAGGCTTCTCAGCCAGCCATGCAGGCCCGCCGGAGCTGCGAGAGTCACGGCGCCCACCCACGCCGGCCACGTGGTCCCCATCGGGAAGCAAGTCCATTCATTCCTTCCTCATTCAACAGTCCCGGGTACCGTGCCGGTCCCGGGGCGACAGCAAGAACCGAGATGCCCAAGTTCACGTTGTCATAAAAGTCAGTTTGGACCACCATGTGGTAAGTGACAGATAGGTAACAAGTGCTATGGGGCACCTAGAGGGCCCAGCCTGGGGTGGGGGGGGAGACACTGAGTGGTCGACTCAGTGGGAGACACCTAGTGGTAGAGGATGGGGCATGAGCAGGTGGAAGGGAGCTGAGAAAGGCGGCGGCGCGGCTGCGGCGGGGAAAGGCAAGCTGATCGGTCCCGCAGAATGAAGGGGCAGCGGGAGAGGAGGCTGCAGAGGCAGGCAGGGCCCAGGACGCACAGAGCCTTCTCAGAGCCTTCTTGGTTGGGAGCTGCAGTTTTATCCCGAGGCCCGAGGCAGTAGGGAGCAGTGGGGGCCACTGGCAGATTTTGAGCCGAGTCTGGCCCGAGTGTTGGATCATTCATTCTGATAGCGGAGGCCAGAAGCTGGGGAGCAGGAAGGGGCTATCCTAGGAGTCCCTGGGTGCAAAAGTGAAAGACTCAACCAGGGTTGTGCCAAAGAGAGTGGGGGTAGCGGGGCAGGAGAGTATAAGGTTCAAGGAAAATTGAACCCTCTGGGAGGTAAAACTGGTGGTGATCAGATGTGGAGGCTGAGGAAGGGGGAAGAGTCCATGATAGCCCCCACCTGCCCCACCTGGATCCCTTCCCTGTTGTGTTACTCAGGCACTTATTGAGCACTTACTGTGTGCCAGGCGCTGTTCTAAGTATTTTACACATATTCACTCATTTAATCCTACAGCCACCATAGCTAAAGGGAGTTGTTCCCTTGTTATCATCCCCATTTTACAGATGAGGAGACTGAGGCACAGAGAGGTTAAGTAACTTGGCCAAGATCACATAGCTAGTTAGCCAAGATTTGAACCTGGGCCATCTGGTTCCAGAGTCTCTGCACTTGTCACTACTGAGGGGGAACTGGAGTCCTGTCCCAAACGTATCCAGCCTGCTCGCCCAGCCTTACCTCCTCCTCCTTCCCATGCCACCTGCCATTAGGCAGCAGCATAGCCCTCAGTATCCAAACTGCTCCCAGAAAGCTGCCCAGCCCAGGACGCAGCCCTGTCCGAGAAGCAGCTCCCGCCTGTGTAGCCAGACTGCAGTGCATCAGGGATCTGCAGATGGAGAAACTGAGGCCCAGCTGTGGTCCTAGGCCTCAGTCGGGAGCTGTTGGCAGAGCTGCATCTGGGACTCCAGATGTGCCGTCTGCATTTCCTGGTTGCCAAGGCCGACGGGGCCACGCGCAGCGGTGCAGAGCCCTTCCTAGGGCTTTCCCTGCGGCGTCATCCTGTCTGACCGTCTGGGCCGGGCTCGCCAGCCCCGTTTCCTGCCCAGACTCACTCGGCCACATCAGACAGAGCTGAGGTTAGACCCAGGACTCGGCCCGGGCCTGCTGCTGCGTTCCCCAGGTGCAACTTTGCTCTCGGGACACTTCCCACCGACCACCCAGGCCACCTGAGAGGGTGGCTGGAGGGGATACATTAGTTCAGCCCTTAGGGAGGGCAGGAAAGCGGTGAATTTCTCACCGATCGCCTTTAATCCTGAGCGTACACATCCTGCCCCTAACCCTGCCATCAAGTGGCTCTCCCTCCCTGGCAGAAGTAACCAACCCCAAATGTGGCGTCTGTCATCTGTACGCATGTGTGTGTCTGCTACATCTGCATGTTTCTCTAACCAGCACACACATAGTGTTTTACGTGTTTTCAAGCTTCATGTAAAGATACCCTACTGGGTATATTGTTTTGAGATTTCCTTCCCCCTTCGATACTGTATCTGTGAGGTTCGATCCATGTTGATGTATGCGTCGCTCTAATTATGACCTCATTTTACAGATGAGAAACAGGATCAGCAAGGTACAGGACGTGCCCCGAATCGCAGGTCTTATAGGTGACCGAGACAGGATTTGAACTGCATGATTCAGACCCTTCTCTGCTTCTGGATCACGCTCTGGCCCCACCTCCTTAGTCCCTGCCTCCTGTCCCAGTGCCCGGACCCATCGACCCATCCTGCTGCCCTGCTTCCTCTTCTCACCTCCTTGGAAGGCACCTGAAAGGCTGTTTTCACAAAGTGTTAAAGGCCGCCACCCACGGCACTCTAGCCTGGGCAACAGAGTGAGACCCTGTCTCAAAAAAACAAAAAACAAAACAAAAAAAGACCTTGTTGTGTTTCCCCTCCCAGGGCACATGCATTTCGGGAAGCGCTGGGGAATAGTCATTGGAGTAGGAAGCTGGGACTTCCAGGTCTGGCTCTACTAGCTGTGTGACCCCAAGCAAGTTCCTCTGAGCCTCAGTTTCCTCATCTGTATAATGGGGCTGCTTATAGGGTCCTGTGAATTATATAATGCCAGGGACTCAGGGACTCTGGCACTGACCAGAGAGATGAGTCTCTGAGATTCTGAAACAGCTTCAGCACCACTGGGGAGTGGAGGAGGAGTGGGGGGTTGGGCGGTGCAAGTGGGGAGAGGGGTTGGTGGCAGGCCCTGCCCAGCCGGCGGGGGCCCCAGCCACACTCACCATCCGCAGCATGTCTGAGGCCGGCGGGGACACCTGGGAGCGGTAGAGGTTGTGCAGCTCTACCATCTCGCGTTTCTCATCAGCCTTGAGGGCTCCGGTGGGGCCCGTGGTGGCCACCAGCAGTAGCAGCGGCAGCACCAGGGAACTGCAGGAGCCGCACATGGTGGCCAGCCCTCTCTGCTTCTCCGGTCCAGGGGTCTGGCAGCTGGATTTAAAGTCCTTCCCACACAAGCACCACCCTGGCTGGGGTGGGGCGGTAGGGGCTGTGTCTGCAGGCCCAGCCCGGCTCACACAATGTCTCAGGGAGGGCTGGGTGTCTTGGGTCCAGACCAGAGTTGAGTCCACTCCCCTTGGAGTCCTTGGCAAAAGCCTCCTTTCTCTCGGTAACGGGGGCTCAGGCCAAGAGCTGTGTGAGTTCCACAGACCCTCCTGAGTTGTGGACAGATCCTCAAGGGACAAAATCTCAGTAACCTCTGCAGAGCTATGGCTGGTTGCACCCAGACCACATCCCGTGGGTGCTGAGGACAGATAAGAGGAAGGAAAGCACATAGGCTCTGACCACAGAGGACTGAGCGGTATCAGGAAACCGTAAGTGGCTTTCGAAGGTGAGAGGAAGATGAGATGTATTTGGTAAGAGGTTGGGCAACCTCAGTCTGAATGCTGGTTCTGTCCCTTCCTATTTGTGTTTTTGGGAGCTTTCTCGGCTGAACGAATCATTGACAATAATAGTACCTACCTCATAGGGCCGGAGGGAAGATTAAATGAGATATAACGTATGTAAGTGCCTAGTGCGGTCTCTGGCACATAGAAGCCCCTCAGTAACAGTAGACAACCAACCACCCATGTGGCCTGGCCCCTGGCTGGCTCCCAGCGCCATGGGGAGGCACAGTCCTTGTTTACTACGGGAGGAGGGGCCGAGGTATTTCCCACTCTAGCTGTGTTATCGAATAGGGCTTTTCACTGTGGACAAAATTTTGCCTTCTACGTGCCCTCTCTGAACGCATGCGCTTGACGTGCTTGTTTGAAAGTGGGACGCTGGGACCCCTCCTGCTCTGTGTTTGTAGAAATATGATGTGTCTGTTTTTGAAATCAAGAGAGCAGAAAAGCAGAAGGGTGAGCGAGCTGATGGATGTAGCAGGGGCTCTGAGGGGAGGGTACTGGAAGGGAAATAGGCTGAGCAGCTACGCATTTGCATTATAATGGCCAGGACCTAGGCCTTGGCCTTTATGAAGCAGGAAGTTGGAACCAATGTTCTTGAAAACAGCTGGGATCCTTGAAGCCTGCACATTCAATGAATGGGGAGCTAGGAAAAGCCTACCCACTGGCTTTGGAAGGTGGCGAGAGAAAACCTGTCCTTGACCAGGTCTCCAGGTAAAAATAAAAACAAAAACAACAAGTTGGAGTCCACAAAAAAACTATTAGAACTAAAAAACTCAGCAAAGTTGCACACTACAAAATCAACACACAGAAATCAGTTGTTTCTATACACTGATCATGAATAATCCCAAAAGGAAATTAAGAAAAGAATTCCATTTACAATAGCAACAAGAAAATATAAAATTCTTAGCAATACACTTAACCAAGGAGGCAAAAGATTTGTACACTGGAAACTACAAAATGTTGCTGAAATTAAAGACAGAACTAAATGGAAAGACATCCCATATTCATGGATTAGAAGACTTGATATTGTTAAGGAGTTGATATTGCCCAAAGCAATCTACAGATTCAGTGTAATCCCTACTGAAATCCCAATGACAATTTTTTTTTTTTTTTTTTTTGAGACAGAGTCTCACTGTGTTGCCCGGGCTAGAGTGCCGTGGCATCATCCTAGCTCGCAGCAACCTCAAACTCCTGGGCTCAAGCAATCCTCCTGCCTCAGCCTCCCGAGTAGCTGGGACAACAGGCATGCGCCACCATGCCCGGCTAATTTTTTCTATGTTATTTTTAGTTGTCCAATTAATTTCTTTCTAATTTTAGTAGAGACGGGGTCTCACTCTTGCTCAGGCTGGTCTCGAACTCCTGAGCTCAAACAATCCGCCCGCCTCGGCCTCCCAGAGAGCTAGGATTACAGGCGTGAGCCACCGCGCCCGGCCCCAATGACAATTTTTTGTAGAAACAGAAAAATCCATCCTGAAATTCATACTGAATCTCAAGGTACTCCAAATAGTCAAAACAATCTTGAAAAAGAACAGAATTGGAAGTCTCACACTTTCTGATTTCAAAACTTAACCACAAAGCTAGAGTAATTAAAATAGTATGGCACTGGTATAAAGACATTTAGACTAACAGAATAGAATAGGGAGCCCAGAAATAAACCTGTACATATATGGTCAAATGATTTCACACAAGGGTAGCAGGACCATTCAGTCCGGGAAAGGACAATCTTTTCAACAAGACCAGGAAAACTGGACATCCACAAGCAAAAGAATGAAGTTGGGCCCTATATTTAAAAATTAACTCAAAATAGCCAGGCATGATGACTCACACCTATAATCCCAGTACTTTGGGAGGCCAAGGCAGGAGGATCGCTTGAAGCCAGCAGTTAGAGGCTGCCATGAGCTATGATCAGGCCACTGCACTCCAGCCTGGGCAACAGAGTGAGGCTCTGTCTCAAAAAAAAAAAGATAAAAAATAACTCAAAATGGACCAAAGACCTAAACACAAAAGCTAAAGCTACAAAACTCAGAAGAAAATGCAGGGGCTTCTCGGCCTTGCATGTGGCAAGCATTGTTTGGATATGACACCAAACGCACAGGCAACAAAAGTAAATTGAACTTCATTAAAATTAAGAACTGTTGTGTCTCAAAGGACACAATCAGCAGCCTGAAAAGGCAATCCATGGAATGGGAGAAAATATTTTGCAAATCATATATCTGATAAGAGATTAATATCTAGATTACATTTTTTAAAATCCCACAACTCAACAACAAAAAACAACTTGATTAAAAAACAGGCAAAGGACTTAAATAGACATTTCACCAAAGAAGATATACAGGTGGCTAATAAGCAAATGAAAAGATGCTCAACATTACTAATTGTTAGGGAAATGCAAATCAAAACCACAATGAAGGCCATGGTAGTGGCTCAGCCTGTAATCCTAGCATTCTGGGAGGCTGAGGCAGGAGGATTGCTTGAGGTCAGGAATTTGAGACTAGTCTCAGCAAGAGACCCTATCTCTACTAAACAAATAGAAAAAATTAGCCAAATGACTAAAAATAGAAAAAATTAGAAGGGCATGGTGGCGCATGCCTGTAGTCCCAGCTACTTTGGAGGCTGAGGCAGGAGGATTGCTTGAGCTCAGGAGTTTGAGGTTGCTGTGAGCTAGGCTGACACCATGGCACTCTAGCCTGGGCAACAGAGTGAGACTCTGTCTCAAAAAAAAAACAAAAACCACAGTGAGATACCACTTCACACCCAGGAGCTGTTATTAAAAACGAACAGAAAATAGCAAGTGTTGGCAAGGGTATCAAGAACCTTCCTGTCCAGGGTGAGTTTCTATCTCCCACCTTGAGCTGCCAGCACAGGCTCCGGCCACCCTCTTGAACTGGAGTAACTGGGTAAATAATTATCTTACTTGTTTTCATTAATCTTTCTTAAATGTATGTATAGTTCATGTTTGTTTCAACGTTTTATATTGGAAGTGTTTTGGTCTTTATTTAGAAGTTTGGTGACGTCTTTGTTACCAGAAATATACCCTAGCAACTTAACACTTGTTTATGTTAACTAGCCTATGGTAACATTGGTTTAGTTTCCCTTAAAGTCGCAGTTTCCAAGAACCGATCTTCAAGGTTAAGTGAGAACTTACTGTATTCATCATTATTAGTTTTATTATAGGTAGAAGAGTTTGCATGGCCTTAAGTTGTGGCAGAGAAAAAAGTACAACCACCTGGCTTGGCTTTTTCCCTGGGGAGGAGCTGCCTTGGCCTGGGGGAGCTCTTAGCTAGAGAGGGAGACACACCCGCTCTGAGGGACAGGGCCCTGGTGTGAGTGGTGCTGGGATGTGAGCTGGGGAGGCCTGGGAGGTTTGGCAGGAGTAGAGAGGCCTGCTTTGTCTGGGGGTGGGGGTTAGCAGGGAAGGAAGACGGGGAGGCTGACCAGAGCCAGCCAGAGTGTCTGGGGCCCACGGGTGTGCAGCCAGAGCGCCGGCTCTGCACGTGCCCATTCGTACACAGCTCACGGAGCTCTCCCCACTGGGGTGATCTCACATACTCCTCATGTGACAGCCCTCTGAGGCAGGTCTCATAATCACCCCACACCAGGAAACTGATGCTCAGAGTGATTTCCCTGGCGTTGGTGGGGGAGGGTCTGGAACAGTGGCAAAGGGCTGGGCCCAGGGCCAGGGACCTGCCACTGGGAAAAGAAGGAGGTTACAGCAGCAGGTGGAGGAGAGAGGGAAACGGAGGTGAAGTCAGGGGAGGGTGAGAGGGAGCGAGATGACAGCATCAGGCAGGGAGGAGGAGGAGGGCTGTGGTTTACATCAGCTGGGATGTGTCCATGAACCTGGAGTTGGGGGAAAATATACTTTCTTTTGAATTATTATTTTTGTGTATTTTAAATCAAATTTCACTTTGAACAGCAGTATAACTCCATCTCAAAAATTAATCCAAAGAGGAAAAAAATTCCACCTCTAGTATTTGCTTTTAGCCTTTGAGCAGGTGCCACTCCAAGTGTGGTCCACAGCCGGACGCTGGTGACCGCCCGTCGGCACAGCGGGCGCGGACAGTGAGCGAGAGTGTTCAGAAATTCCCGCAGCAATCGAACGTAGTTGTTTTCTGTCTGTTAAATCTATGATTAAAATACTGGGGCTTGAATTTTGTCTATCTGTTTTTCACTTCAGTTTTCTAGTAATGTATTTGTTAACTTTATTTTGAAATAATTAGAGACTCACAGGAAGTCACAAAAATAGTACATAAAGTCCCATGAACCCTTTACCCAGCTTCCCCCAGTGGTGACATCTTGTACCACATGAAAACCAGGAAATTGACATTGAAACTGACGCCAACTGAACTGCAGATCCCATTCACGTTTCCCTGTGCGTGCGTGTGTGTGTGTGCGTGTGTGTGTGTTCTGTGCAGTTTGATCTCACGTGGAGATGTGTGTAATCACCGCCACAAACCAGATACAGAACTGTTCCGCCACCACGAAGCAAGTCCCTCATGCTGCCCTTTGCAGTCCATCGACCCCACCACCACACCCCTGCCCCCGGCAACACTACTTTGCTCTTCATTGCTGTAGTTTCATCATCTCAAGACTGCTATGTAAGTGGAATCATACAGCATCTGATCTTTTGAGATTGGCTCTTCATTAAGTATAAACACCCCGGAGACCCACCCAGGCTGTTGCACGTGTCAAACGGCTCACCCCTTTGTGTTGCTGAACAGTATTCCAGGGTGCGGATGTGCCACAGTTGGTTTAAGCATTCACTGGTTCAAAGACATTTGGGTTGTTTCTAGTTTTTGGTTATTATGAATAAAGCTGCTATGAACATTTGTGTA